TCACTGCTAGAGTCTCCGTCGATTCCTTCTTCACACCTGCCTGTCCCTTCCTCTGCCTGTTACACCGGTGCCCGTCCTGCTCGCTCTCTCTGAAGGCACCGATTTGACTGTACGCTCCTCAGCAGGCGGCTTTCCATGGGGCCTCAGGTTCCGCAAGGGGCCAGTGTCCCTGCGCTGGTGGACGGGACTCCCTCCGGCTGTGTGTGGCCTGGTCCTGCTGCTCCAGGGGTGGTGCAGTGTGTGGCTCTAGTGGCTGTCCCCCGCTCTCCACCTCCCACCTGGGCAAGCCCCAGCCTGTGAGTGCAGTTCCCTGGCCACCCGGCCCGCGCCCCACAGCCCACCTGTCTCTGGTCCCTTGCTCCTCTCGCCTGGGACTCCCCTCCTGGTTCCGGGCACCTGGTTTCTCCCTGCCGCAGCTTGTTTATAGACTTTCAAGTTTGTTTCAGGGGACTCTATTTCCCACTTGTCTGCAGAATGGAAGGTGGTCTGCCATCTACCAGTCTTCATCTGCCCAGTGGGCCGTGGGCTGTCTCGGCCCCGGGAATGGGCTCCAGGCCGCCCCGTAAAGCGGCCCGGTACTGACAGCCTCCCCTTGCCGAGTCACCGCAGAGGCCGTGAGTGCCCACAGAGGACGCCAGGCGTGTCTGCTGGCTGCACTGCCCAGGGACCAGGGACCAGGGACCAGGAAGCCTCACGCGTTTGTGTGCACACGACTTTCCCCACGACTCCGATCTGCAGTTGGCTGAATCCACGATGCAGAGTCAGCCAGGGAGGGCCAACTCCATTTACATTCTTCCCCTCCAACATTAAATAAAATACTTACCATTAGGTGATTTTATGGAATGAGGACTCCCAACAACGACTTTTTCATAGTTCTAGTAACCAGCTATTTCTCCACTATTAATTTTATACCTTAGGTATTAAATGCTAATTTATTTAATGGATAACTAATTGAATGTAACTTATGTATTTAATCCCTATATTTCTAATTTCTATATTCTAAACATAGTATATAATTTCTATATTTAAAAATGAGGCAATGGCACACGCTTGTGATCTCAGAAGTTCAGGAGGCTGAGGCAGGAGGATCTCAAGCTCAAAGCCAGCCTCAGTAACTTAGGGAGGCCCTAAGCAACTCAGTGAGACTCTATCTCTAAATAAAATACAAAAAGGGCTGGGGATGTGGCTCAGTGGTCAAGTGCCCCTGGGTTCAATCCCCAGGGCCCTCCCACCAAAACAAGGGAGAGAGAGTCTCTCACAAGAGACTCCTTGACCAGAAAACGTACCTACTATGTGCCCTGCCTCCATTTACACATGGAGACGTCTTAAATCTACACTGGCATGAAGAGCAGGCCTGGGGTACAAGAAGCTGCTTGGTGCTTCTGAGTCTCCAGATGGTCAGAGGACAGCAGCTGGCTCCTCAGACTTCCAGGGACCGGAGCAAGCCAGGCCCTGCCCTCCTGGTCCCCTCTTCGGTAGCCATCGGGACAAATCAGTGTGTTCCCCCCCACCCCAATCACAAGCTTTTAAATGTCACTTTTCAAGGAAGCTTTTCAAGTAAGTAGGTGTTAGTGAGCACCCTTCCTCCAAGGTCACAGGGAGCAACCCCTCCTCCAAGGTCACAGGGAGCAACCCCTCCAAGGTCACAGGGAGCAACCCCCTCCAAGGTCACTGGTAACAACCTCTCCTCCAAGGTCACAGGGAGCAACCCCTCCAAGGTCACAGAGAGCAATCCCTCCTCCAAGGTCACAGGGAGCAACCCCCTCCTCCAAGGTCACAGAGAGCAACCCCCTCCAAGGTCACTGGTAACAACCTCTCCTCCAAGGTCACAGAGAGCAACCCGTTCCTCCAAGGTCACGGGGAGCAATCCCTCCTCCAAGGTCACTGGTAACAACCTCTCCTCCAAGGTCACTGGTAACAACCTCTCCTCCAAGGTCACAGGGAGCAACTCCCCTCCAAGGTCACTGGTAACCTTTCCTTCAAGGTCACAGGGAGCAACCCCCTCCTCTTGGACCCCCCTCCTTCAACCCACAGGCACGGAGGCCACAAGACAACCTCTACACTTCCCTGACCCCACTGCTGGGGATGCTCAGCATGGAGACCAAGGCAAGGGGCCCGAGGAAGACAGCCTGCCAGCCCAGCTCTCCTGGCTGCGGGACGCTCCATGGACCCGGCTAACCTCCGTGGACCCGGCTAACCTCCGTGGACCCGGCTAACCTCCGTGGACCCGGCTAACCTCCGTGGACCCGGCTAACCTCCGTGGACCCGGCTAACCTCCGTGGACCCGACTAACCTCCCAACACCCTCCTTGCTGGACAGCGGGACGTAAGGCCTCCTGGGGGCAGCAGCACCTTGCCAGGTGCTCTTTTGGCTCTTCCTGGACGCACTCTTCCACTCGCCTTAAGGGTCCACTCCACTATCACAGGCCTGACACAGAGCAGTCTCTGTTCTGGGCAAGGAACAGAGAGACAAGGCAGGTGAAAAGTCCTGTCCCCAAGGAGCTGGCCTTCCAGAGCTCTAGACAGGGTGGACGGGATTCCCACCCCGCCCCACTCCTCCCTCACAGACACACAGCTGAAGAGGGCTGCTGTCAGCCTGACAGTCACGGGGACCGAGGTCCACTCCCATGCCGACACATCACAGAGGCCATGGTCCACTCCCAGGCTGATGAGGTCACAGAGGCCATGGTCCACTCCCAGGCTGATGGGGTCACACAGACCTGAGGTCCACTCCCAGGCTGATGGGGTCACAGAGGCCATGGTCCACTCCCAGGCTGATGGGGTCACACAGACCTGAGGTCCACTCCCAGGCTGGTGGGGTCACAGAGGCCATGGTCCACTCCCAGGCTGATGGGGTCACAGAGGCCATGGTCCACTCACAGGCTGATGGGGTCACACAGACCCGAGGTCCACTCCCAGGCTGATGGGGTCACACAGACCCGAGGTCCACTCCCAGGCTGATGGGGTCACACAGACCTGAGGTCCACTCCCAGGCTGATGGGGTCACAGAGGCCATGGTCCACTCCCAGGCTGATGGGGTCACACAGACCTGAGGTCCACTCCCAGGCTGGTGGGGTCACAGAGGCCATGGTCCACTCCCAGGCTGATGGGGTCACAGAGGCCATGGTCCACTCACAGGCTGATGGGGTCACACAGACCCGAGGTCCACTCCCAGGCTGATGGGGTCACACAGACCCGAGGTCCACTCCCAGGCTGATGGGGTCACACAGACCCGAGGTCCACTCCCAGGCTGATGGGGTCACAGAGGCCATGGTCCACTCCCAGGCTGGTGGGGTCACAGAGGCCATGGTCCACTCCCAGGCTGATGGGGTCACACAGACCATGGTCCACTCCCAGGCTGATGGGGTCACACAGACCCGAGGTCCACTCCCAGGCTGATGGGGTCACACAGACCTGAGGTCCACTCCCAGGCTGATGGGGTCACAGAGGCCATGGTCCACTCCCAGGCTGGTGGGGTCACAGAGGCCATGGTCCACTCCCAGGCTGATGGGGTCACACAGACCATGGTCCACTCCCAGGCTGATGGGGTCACACAGACCCGAGGTCCACTCCCAGGCTGATGGGGTCACAGAGGCCATGGTCCACTCCCAGGCTGATGGGGTCACAGAGGCCATGGTCCACTCCCAGGCTGATGGGGTCACACAGACCCGAGGTCCACTCCCAGGCTGGTGGGGTCACAGAGGCCATGGTCCACTCCCAGGCTGATGGGGTCACAGAGGCCATGGTCCACTCCCAGGCTGATGAAGTCACACAGACCCGAGGTCCACTCACAAACTGATGGGGTCACAAAGGCCCGAGGTCCACTCACAGGCTGGTGGGGTCACAGAGGCCATGGTCCACTCATGAGCTGACAGGGTTTCGGGGGCCAGAGGTCCATCACTCACAGGTTATCAGAGGCCGGAGGTTCCGGGTGCCTACCCAGGCTCAGTTGGGGTCCCCTGCGTATGCTTATCTGGTCAGCAGTCCTTTTGTGAAAGGAGAGGAACAACTTCTCACGGTGACTTTAGGGAACAAAGGCAGAGTGGCTGCTGAGACCCACTTGGACTACAAGCCTGTGACAGGCTCCAGAGCCAGGAGTGATGTGGGAACAGGGAAGCAGGCCTGCGGCCATACTTGGGTGACAAGGACGTCTGAAGGCAGGCCACCTTTGGGATCCCACAGCTCAGCAGGGGCCGCTGAGTTGGGGTGGCATGGCGTTCCGCGCTGGAGGCTGGCACTCTCTGGCTGATTGCTGCCGTGCTCAGGAACGCTGGCCGTGGGGCGAGGAACCAAGGCCCCTGCCCACAAGTGGACCTGGAGCCCAGTGAGCAGCCCGCCAGGAACCCAGCAGAGCCACCCCCTCACTGGGTCAGGCCAGGACCCCTGGGCCACAGGCCGGCAGGATGACAGACAGACCCTGGGCTCGCAAGGTGGCAAGAGAGAACCAATAGGGGCCCATGCCTGTCAAATAGTCTGTCACCGTCACAGAGACCTGGAATTCTAAATCCGGGTCACTTTCACTTTACTTCAGCGCTTGTGAACTGGTGCAAAAAGCAATATTCAAAAGTGTCAAAAGAGGACCATCTCTTGCTCTTTAAATTCAACCTGAATTATTAAATTTTCACTCTATGGTAAATGGAAGCAAGTAGCAATTTTTAGATGAGGGCTCACTATTACTTTTTATATAATATAGATATCTTAACATTTGTTGGATTTAACTGGGGGAGGGAGGAGCAGAAGGAAGGGGAGATACTAGATAATGAAACTGACCAAATCATACTGCTATGTTGTTTGCATACAAGAATACGTAACAATGAATCCCACCATTATACAAAATGGTACACGCCTGTAATTCCAGCAGCTCAGAGCTGACGCACGAGAATAGCAAGTTCAAAGCCCACCTCAGCAAAAACGAGGCACTAAGCAACTCAGTGAGACTCTGTCTCTAAATAAAATACAAAATAGGGCTGGGGATGTGGCTCAGTGGCCAAGTGCTCCTGAGTTCAATCCCTGGTATCCCCCTTCAGCCCCCAAAAAAGAAAAAAAGTTTTTGGACTTAAAAATAAAGGAATGTAAATTATTTAATATAGATTGGTGAATACAGATGTTTGCACATGTATCTATTAAGAGTAGCAATTTAACCGACAAACTCCTTAACCAGTTAAGAATGCAGGGAAACACAGAAATTATTTAATAGGCAAAGTCCATCCAAGGATCTAATTACGTAGTGCTGGGTCAGACATCACACAAAGATGTGATTCATGCATATCTGCAACTGGTTCTACATCTCCAACGTTCACATTCAGAGACTGCGTGAAGCTCCTCAGAATTAAACGTGTAAATGATGTGTTAAGTCCACGCTTCGGTGCATCCCCGCAAGCTAATGCTCAGCCTGAATGGCCTCCTTTGAAGCACAACGAAGACACACCTTCTGTTGGTAAGCAGCACTTGGTGTGGACCAAGGTTTC